TCATTGAGTATAGACTATGGTCATAGCATTCATCCAATATAGCGGCTAGGAAGCAATAAAAATGTCAAGGCCATGATACAAAGTTCAATAATAGCAGTGTTATTTAGCACAATCCCAAAAGGAGATGCAAACAAATTTACTATGTTACAGGCACAACTTGCAGATATTCCAAGTTCTTACCAGCTTGATAGGTAAAATCAAGGATTTACTTTATGCAAAGAGTAAGATTTGCAATTTAAAGCTAGTGAACTAAATAGGACAATCCGTCTTTTCCTGCAGCTGTTTGGCTTTGGGCCATCACTGATCCTTTGGATCCATTTAGGAGGAACCTTCCTTCGCCTAAAGAGGATCAGATTTACACATTTATTTCTATACGATTTTTGGTGAAATGGGTGGTCCCTTAAATTAAATCCAGATTTCTCTGCTCTGGATTAAGAAAGATGGTGCATGTTGTTGAGTGGGAAAATCCCATGTCAAGGATAAGAAGAAATATATGGTTTAAATACAATAAAAATTACTCTATTTATTATCAATTAATTTTAAATTAGATACAAATTTTATATGAATATGTCCAATTTTGACATCTTGATTAACACAGATAGGCCACAATTTTCGTCAACATTGTTGAATCTCATAATCAAACTTTTCATATTTCAATGAACCCCACAAAACAAAATACTTATTATATATCTTCAATGCCAGTAATAGTCAGCATGTGAAAAGTTTCAATCATTGAAAATTTTTAATTAGAAAATAGAATCTGTTCATCATTTTCTTCACACTTCCACAGTATAAGATTGACAATGGCGCACGGCAAAATGAAAAGAAAAAAGAAAAAAAAATCAACCATGAATTCACCCTGTTAATGAGACAATTCATCAAACAAGGATTTTAAATTTCGTAGATTGGAGAATTTGAGAAAGAAAATGCAATCTAATAAAAATTAGAATTCTTCTCATTTTCCTGGCAGTTTCTTGGGAGCCAAACAAAATGAAAATTCTCCAACAAAAGATCAATGCAAAAAAGGAAAAGAAAATTACCAGAAAATCGAATGCGAATATTCCACCTGCCAAACTAGACATGAAGATAATCGAAATTAGGAGACGTTTTATGGGAAAACAAAAAGGAAGGCTGCGTTAAACTTTGCTTTTTGTCCTGGCCACGAGAAAGTTTGTAATTTTGGCGCTTCGTTTGCTGGAATAACCCTTTGATTTTCTAGTTATTTACGACGAGAACCACCGACGCGAGATCTCCTTTTTGATCTTTTGGTGAAGAGAAAAGCACGATAAATTTGATCTCCGAAAAAAATATATATATAAATCATTGGCCATTCATGATGATGCCATTGCCACGTGCACGGGTTTCCCGCCCTTCGGTCTTTGCTTTGCCTTTTCCAATGGTTTTTTTTATGATCACCTCTTTTGAGTGTCTTTCACCTAGCCCACCCCTTTCCAAATTGGCAACGGTTATGGCCACCGGCTAATTATTTTTTTTTTAGGTTAAAACCTCATTTTGATCCTTGAACTATTGTATAAATCCCTGATTTAGTCCCTGAATTAAAAAAATTTTTGATTTAATCATTACTGTTTACCATTTCAACCCCCATTTGATCCTTTTGTTAATTTTTCACGTTAATTGACGAAGAAAAATAAAAGCATTACGTGTTACACCAAAATTGACAAGTTGGCTAAAAACAGATGACATGACCATTCAAACTCATCTCACCCAAAAAAAATTTTTTTTTTTTTTTTTTTCAAAAAAAATTTTTTTTTTTTTTTTGTTCCTCTGTTCCTTTTTCCTTTTCTTCAACTTCTGCAAACCCTAACACTTCAACCAATCTCCAAAATCTCAACCAATCTATTCATTTCAAACAATTTTTACCCTTGTTGGATTCATCATCATCATCAAACCACAAAACCATAAAAAAAAAAAAAAAAGATTTTTTTTCTAATTTTTTTGAGCCTAGGTTCCTTAGAACCCAGGACCTAGGTTCAGCATCAAGAACAACAGCAAGACGAGTATCACAAAATGGAGAAGACGAGTGTCTAGATTAGGGCTTACATCTAGAAGAGGGAGAAGCTTATAGACCGAAAGAGGAGGAGACATGAGCATGTTCCCAACTTCCTTCAGTTGCTCTGTAGGCTCTGCATCTGAAGATGCCATGGCTACTCTCTGTGCAAAAAGGAAAAAACTAAACAAATATATCTCTAGATCCCAAACAACCTCACACACATCTCCCAAAAATTTCACACCATTAAAATCTAAATTCAAGGTAAAGGTAAAGTAACAGAAGTGCTGCATTCCTTCAAACCCAAAGCTTGGGTTCTTTGGTTCTCTAGGTTCTTTGAGAACCCAACGCCTGGGTTCCATCGAACCCAAGCATGCTAGGTTCCAATGGCAAAGGGAAAGGGAAAGAAGAAAAAAAATATAAGAAAGAATTTTTTATTTCTTTATCATATTATTATTTTTTTCAAAATCATTATTTTTTGGTTGCCATGTTGTATGTCCACATATAATAAAATTTTGACATGCCATCATATAACAGTAAATTAACAGGACACGTTATGGACTTTTAACAGAGGGATCAAATCAGGGTTAAAATGATAAATAATAGAGATTAAATCAGGGTTAAAATGATAAATAATAGAGATTAAATTAGAAATTTTTTTAGTTTAAGGACCAAATTGAGGGTCCATACAATAGTTCAAGGACCAAAATGGGGTTTTAACCATTTTTTAAGATCACTCAAGATATTATTAAATTATTAAAATAATTAATAATTATAATTATTAATTAATAAATTAATTAATACTTTTCTTATTTTTAATTAATTTAATTTAATTTTTAAATTTTTTTAAATGTAAAATTTAAATAAAAATTTAGATATTTATATGAATAACAATTAAAAAAATTTTTATATAAAGTTTTTGTTGAATATTTTAATTTGATAAAAAAAATTTAATTATTATTTATATAATATATTTAATTTTTATTTATTTATTCTTAAATAAGGTTACATATTGGGGGGGTTTTTAATGAAATGAAAAACTTGAATCCAATTTAAGTGAAAAGTTTTATATAGAAAGTAACTACTTGCTCTACTTAAACTTCTCAATTTTTATTTAAAATTTATATGTAAAAAATAAAATAATTAAAATAAATAAATAAATATTTATATTAAATATATTAAAATTAATTTATAAATTAATATTAATTAATTATAAATTTATAAATAAATAAAATCAATCAAAACAAATCAAAACAGATACAGTTAGTACATTTTTTAATTGCTTAAATAAAAAAGCCTGACAATAACCATGCCTCTCCAAATTGTTGCCTTCTCCATCACCTTAGTGAAACTTCATTTTTTTTTTTTTTTCTGAAAAGGTTGTCATACCATAAGTGGAATTTGGAATCTCTTTCAAGACAATATCACTCGAGATGCTACAAATGTTTTTAGTTGCAGTTTTCACATGAGGTCTCTGAACCATTTTCAAGCATTTCTCCACATGTAATTTACGTACAAGTATCTGTAGGTCAAACTTGAAAATGCAAAGAACGTGGTCCATATGATGGAGTTGAGAGCAAGGATTTCCACGAACTGACGACGCAACCACCTGCCCCTCGGACCACCACCCCCATCCCCGACCTGCTCCGACTCAGAAACAGACCTCCCTCTACTTCAATCTTCAAGCACCCAGTGCCCTAGCCAGCTAGCCTCTTAATTTAAATTTTCTCATGAACGTACCCCATTGCATGTTCCACAACAGCCATGGTGCCTACCTCAGAGCTTCTCCAAACCATATGATTCCTCACGTCCCAAATTAACCAGCATTGTACCACAAACAGAGGCAAATTCTCTGTTCCTATGATCTCTTTGGCATTCAAGAAGAAACCACTGAAGTTTGCACCTGGTATACTCTCCATAAGCAGCGCAAAATGGCATGACCGCCAGACTCTGCTCTGGCTAGGGACACTCCTTCAAGCAGCGGAGTACCGTTTCTGGTTCCCTGTTGCGTAATGGACAGAAGTCACAGAACAAAAGGACAGCCTACTCCCTCTCCACCAGTCTAGCCCTCACCTGTATAGTAAGTTCCAACAAGCTCTCCAGCAAAAAAATCTTGACTTCCTCTGTAACCTCAACAGCCCATAGTCCTAACTCCTATCCATAAACCTGTGTCAACTTTGTTCACCACCTTGTATTAGCTCTGAATAAAAGTTAATATAAGAGGGAAATCATTCTTCCGGTAAACTGGCAAGTTTTCCGTTCCTTAATGTCCCACTAGGAGTATTTACAGTGTTGCCCCATACCCAAGGGAAATCAAATTTGTTTGGAAGAGAAAAAGTAAAAATAATAATCGATCCAATAGCCTGCTGATTATCGTCCTCAGAAGCAAGTCTTCGTTTCTTCCATTTCTGAGCAGCTTCCAGGATCTTATGATATGTTGTGCGGGTGTCGGAAACATGTAATCCGTATACTCTTCATACCTGCGAAGTCCAACATCTTTCAGCATGACAACAAAAAAATTGCTTCTGTTAATCGAGGAGTCATTTCTTCCAAGTTCGAAGTTCAGTAAGTGTCATGGAAATCTCGAAATTTTGACTAGGCATTTGTGGAACGCAATTGCCCAATGGCAGTGATCCCAGAACACATAAAGCTACTGATGGCACTAGGACAACAAAAATCACTTGAGAAGACTAAATAGGAAGCAAATAAATTACTTACCAAACAATACCATCATCACTTGTTATCTGCCACCGTCAGGTGCTGATGTACAATAGTAGCTAATTGCTCTCTCAAAAACTCCTGATTAAGAACAAAATGTTTTGAGTGTTTGTTCTGATAGGGATAGAAGTAAGACAATCTCATATATACAAAGAACTATAAATAACAAATGTGGAGGGTAGGAAAAATGACTCACTTCTTGTGTTCTGAATGCATTGTTCCTTCTGCTCATGACGACTTTCCTGGACGCCACCCATTATCTCTGAACCCTCATCATTCTCGTCCACAATGGACGGCTTAAATTTGCATAACTGATCCACACTTTCAAGTACTTTGTATGACTTATGAGTCTCTCATACGATGTTCTAGTTTGTTCAAACTCCCCTTCAAACATCTCAATATAATGTATGCCTATATCAAGGAAACAAGATCATCATCATTGACCACTTTCTACCGCATTCAACTCGTGCCCACTCCTATTCAAGATAAATCAATGGTCTTAATATAAAAGGAAAACAAGGAAAAGTTTTGCACAAAAAAACCACCATGTTTACTCTAGGAGCCAAACTTACCATAACGAATCACAAATCACAAGCACCCACGCGCACACAGGGAAATGAACTTGGTCTTAACTCTTGAATTGGCATAAGATAAGGCAGTGAAATGCAATAATTGACAGGATAACGAAAAAGGAAAAAATGAAAAAAAAAAAAAAGAAAAAAGAAAAAAGAAAAAAGGGGAGACTGTCGAAGGCAGACAAAGTGAAAAATCACAATTTCTTTAAATGGGGAAGTAAAGATGTAAGCATTTATACTGCCAAGTTTTATCACCAACACAGTAAACTGTCTTGAATAATTACCTGAAAAACTGGGAAACCAATGAATAATTGCAGCAGTTAGAGATGGAAGAAATTAAAGTGTCATACTCAAAACAGATTCTTTTATTGTTTCCAACTCAGCTACAACATTGCAGACAAAAGAACGTAATCAGTAATTAAAGCATCAATAAAAACCAGTAAATGCATATCAAACCAAAAAATCAAAAGATTACCTTCCACAGCTATTATGTCACCTTATGGCAAACTCAAAAATTGCTCTAGAATGCTCTGTTTCACTCAAAATCTTTCTAAATCAGCATACTTACTCCATGCATAACAGTTCTCAGGTGACCACTCCAGATACTTCTCATATAATTTATGGCAGTGAACTATGTTCCCGAGTTGCAGCTCAATCCCAATGTACTTTTTAAAGATCTGGTGGTCAAAAATACCCAACATTTAAGAAAAATCCTCTTAATCCAATAAAATTCATGGAATTTTTAGTATCATGATGTGGTTAATAATACCTTATCCTTGGGGTGCTTTTCCAGTACCATTGCCCAAAATTCCATGATTAACGAAAGATAATCATAAAAAAATTAAAACACAAACGTGGTTCATAAGAACAAGCAGTGTCAGCGCAAGAGAGAAGAGATGTTAGGAAATTTTAAAATATGAAAAGTGGTCCTATTTTACTTATCCTGCAACAACCTATCATGAGTCCGTATACGTACTTATGAGTGTAAAAGACTGTAACTATGCATGTGTCTGAACACAACCTACATCTCTAAATATGTCTGTCTTGCCATCTGACCATAGTATGAACAAAAAGTAAATTGCAAATTAAGATCTCTCGATATAGCCCAACATGTAACTTAAGAGTTCTTACAATTACTGGCTAGTACCAAAACAGGTGATATTGTCTCCAGAATCAAGAACTGATTTTTTTTTTTTTTTTTTTGCCTTGAAAAAAAGGCAAAAAAGGAGGGAGCTGTTTCTATCAACTCTAACAACCTTGGCAACTCAGCTCCAACAACCTTGGAACCTTCCTTTAACAATTTCTATCAACTCTAACAACCTTAGCAGCTCAGTTCCCATAAAATGCACTGTTTGTTAAAAGAAGGTTGTTAGTGTGTTAAGCCATAAGTAAAATATAAGAGAAAACGCCCTGTAATTGTAACATCGATTGAATGAATATTGAACTTGGCTCTCACTCTGTATCTTCCTTCCACCTCTCAGTTTCATATTCTTCTTTCTTCCTTCTCTCAACTCCTGTTCTTTCTTTATAATTTCCATTTCCAGTTTGACAGCTATCAAAACGGTCTTGAATGCACCAGACCCACGTGCCCATCGATCGGCTCTGCAGCGTCCGGACCTATCTAGATTGAGACGGCTACACCTTGGTGCAGAAGAAGAAGATTCTCTGCTAACCCAAGGTTGAATCCGCTGCTAAGCAATTAAAATAGCCTTGAATTATTGCACTAAACCGAAGTAGGGTGGGTCTTTTAACATTGCCTGAAAAGGAATTAGTCTTGAGTAATGTGTTTTTTTAAGATGATTTGAATATGAATTAGTCTCTAAATAAGTAAAAACTGGTACACCAACACCTGACGGAAAATTTTGAGTACCGGCGGTTGTTAGCTTAGCGACTTACCGGAGGGGAAATTGCTCGGAACCATCTCCGCTACCGTATTAGTTACGGTTTTTTCAAATTAAATTACATAATTAACCCACAAAACAGGACCTTAAATTGAGGGTTAAATTGTACTTTCCCAAGTCGGCTAAATCCCTATTCCGCTCCGTGGTAAACTCGCAACACCTTTTTTTCATCATCTGCAGATGGTGCTGTGCATCTACTTCGCTTCTTCCGTTCTGCGTCGGCTGTGAATTTCTTGTTCCATTTCTGAAGTACACAGCTTCCTTTCCGGCGAATCCGCGAAGAAGAAGGAGAAGAAGAAGAAGAGAAATCAGCGGAGCTGGGGTTTGTAGGTGCGTGTCTTTCTCAACACACAAATATTTCTTTCTTTGCTCACGATTTGGTTGATTGATATTGATTCTGAAAGATGAGGTTGCAATATGCGTCATGTTAAACTTCGTTCTTCATTTGCAGCTGACATTATATGAATTTCATCATAAAAAAAAAGGTATTAGATTTAGCTTTTGGAATTGATTAATAGCTTTGGTTGAAACTTGAAGGGTACAGAGTTCTTGTTTCAGATGTCAAAAAGTTAATACTCCATATTCAAGTCCTCTTATTTTAACGATTTTTCATAAGTTTTATGGCTCTGTTCTCCCCCCTTTTTTTTTTCTTCTCAGGAAAATGGCTAATGAAGAAGACAACAACATGGATGATTGGAGCATTCCGCGCCTGATTTCATTGCTAAAGAAAACTTTCCGGGCCAAGGATTTTGGTATGGTGGAAGATGTTTTGACTGCGAGAGAAAGGAAATCAAGGAGTGAAATTAATAAGCTAGAGCAGGAGAAGGAGTCATTAAAAGATTCGTACTACTCAGAGAGGTTTGACAAAGTGAGTATGAAAAAGGAGCTCTCAGAGGAGCTCACCAGATGCAAAATGGAGCGCAAGGAATTTGGTGACCAGGTTGCTAGGCTTAGAGAGGAGAAGAAGATACTGTGCGAGGAGGTGGGACAGAAGGATAAGGAGATTATTGACCTTAGGAGAAGGATTTGTGAGATGGAATGCTCAAAGACAAAGGCTGAGGCTGAGAATGAGATTTGGAGGAAGAGACATGAGGAATTGGATGCAAGGGTATTGCGTCTGGAGGATGAAATGACATTGTTGACAAATTCAAGTACTGTTGAGAGAGGTGGGGTTTGTGAAGCTGAAGATAACCAAGGAAATGCGGAGAAAACCAAAGAGAAGGTGATTGATTCTAACAAAAAGGAAGATGATGAAGCAGTTGATGGTCCTAGTTGTGGTGCAATGATCCAAGATAATGGGCGTTTGCAAAGTGAAGGTGGTAGCTATTTCACTCATTTGAGTTCTTTGGTTATAAATAATGAACTGACATTTTTGTCAATTTCAAAAACTGCAGGGTGTGGCCGTGTTTGTGAAGTGAAAGAGAACCAGGAAAATGTGAAGAAAACTGAGAAGGTCATTGATGCTGACAAAAGTAAGGATGCTGAATTGGGTGTTGGTCTCAGTTGTGATAAAATGATGAAAGATAATGGGCATTTGCAAATTGAAGGTAGTGGCTATATCTAATCATCTGTTGATATTTGTCTAGGTTTGTTTGAGTTGTTTGGTTGTGAGTCATGCAAAATTTATAAGCACTTACTAAGAAATTTTTATATTTGTCTTTTAACATTTTCCACTTCCATGCCAGGGACTGGGAAACATTCAGCAACCTACATTGTTGAGATCACTGACAGTGATGATGATTGTGCTCCAAGTGGAATCCAGAACGGAAAAGAAATGACTTTAAAATGTCCAGTGGAGGGTGCGCATTTGGGGCAGATGGTTGTGGAAAACAAGATGCTCAAAAGAAAACGACCATCAGGTTTAAATATGAATGATTATGAGGATAATAAGGATGAAGAAAATATTGATGACAATGCCCATTCTGGTAAAGGTAAGATGAAGCTTGAAGAAACCACTTATAAACCTGATATCTCTCATTCTTCTCTCAACTGTGGCCCAATGAAAGCCATTTCTGCTCGAAGTAATGATGTTGAAAAAGTTTTTACACCATCAACTTCCAGGCAGGGTTTAGAAGTTACAAGACAGTGTGAAGAGAAAATGGAGTCTGAAGATAGGTCTCAGTCTCACGATATCATTAGTGGGTTTACTCTGGGAAGTCTTGGTTTTGAAACTGAGAGTTCTGAGTCCTCTGAATCTGACACCAGTGATGTGGATATGGATTTTCTTCTCAGCTTACACAAGAGTTCCAAATGACAAATAGAAAGCGAGAGTTAGAGATGGAGATTCTAGAGGAAGGGAGTTCTGCATGAAAGCTGTTACTGCTCTTATTAGCAGTAAAGTCTGTGGATAAATCATCTACTGATTCTGATATATTCATCAGGCAATCAATTGGTTAACAGGTGTAATGTGCTCAGGTATGATTGAGCTAGCTGTTTCATTGTATCCTCTTCCCTTCTTTTAGGTCAGATGATGGTATGGTTTCTCATCTTGAAATCTCGATTATCTTATGATATATGAAATCTAGTTAGGAGGTCACTGGGTTTTTACAGAGCTTGGTGTACCATGTACTTTTTTCTAGCTAACTTATCATTTCTTTGTATCTGCTGTTGTTGATATATTGTGGCACAATTCCCGGGCTAAGGGAAAAAAATGTAGTTGTTAATTTCAGCTGGCTTAATATCATATCATGAAGATTTCCATCTGCAGCTTGTAATACAGATGGAGTGATGTTTACACCTTTGATAGAAAACTAATCTTCCATGCCTCTGTTGAACCATTTTCATTTGATGACGATGTTTGCTATTGGAGCATCCACTTAATAATTAAACTCTGGAATGGTTCTAATCACAGAGTCACTTAGATTTGTCCTTGAGGATGACGGAAAAGGCCAAGTTATGAACCAAATTAAGCGAGAAAACATTAAATAGAGAGACAGTCATATATGTTTCAGTTTATGTTTTGGATCCTTCTCTTTATTCTTTAGAGACCGGAGCAGATTGCAGTGAAGGAAGTAATCCCAAAATGCATGCCCTTAGGACTTGGCTTACCTGATGAAGTTTCACCATGTGGAGTTCTCAAAAAGCTTGTACCTCTCCAATGACACTGAGGCTTAATCCTACCCTGCCTCAAGCAAATAGCCACAGGACATATGAGAGAAGCAACAATGCCCTATACCTACTGTTTTTGCTATTACATCTAGATATCATGAAATTCTCATTTATGCAACATGGGATATGCTAAAGCCCGTATTCTGTTTCTACCAAGAGGGTAGGGACCTCCTGCCTTCAATATTTCGTCTTTTCCCATACATTAGTCTTTCTTCTTTTCAAATCCCCACTAGGGATTTTGGTTGAAGCATCAATGTTAGAGACTATTAAATGTCTAGTAGGTGAATCAGGCAATCAACTCTACTGTCCTTGAAAGTTTGAAATTTTCATTAATGCGTTACATAATTAACAGAGACATGTAGTGCAAGCAAGAATGGAATGTCTTGGGAGGCAGGCTCCTTTATTTACGGAGACAATGGTCACAACTCTAGTTCTAGTTTGGTTGCATAAATGCAGGAGAGTCATCTCATCTAGTACTAGGCTGCCAAGGCCACAGGGCTAAGTAGGCATGGCGCATGGGAGGAGAGGAGTGGGTGTGGGGGGGGGGGTGGTTCTCAGTTTGAGTGCATGACGCGGCCATTGCCAAGCCAATGGTTCGACTAATGGTCCTGTTACCGGCCACGTGATGTCACCAATCACCTGCCTCTTTGCCCCTCTGTTCCGTCTGCTCTTTGAGCGTGACGGACCAACGTGGACCGTCAGATACCACATGCGATGTTCATTTTCTGATAAAATGATTTAACATTTTTCTCATATATATATATATATACACAGAAATCTCATTTTAAAAATATATGAATCGGATAATAATTTGTTTAAGTTAGCCTTTTGAGCATGATCAAGATGAGGACATAATTTTCCCCTTCTGTTTATTTATTTATTTTTTATTATTATAATGTAAAAACTAGGATTAAATTTTATTTTATTTTTGGTATCAATTCTTTGTATCTAAAAGTTATATTAAATATTGATTAATTTAGAATCAAATAACATCAAATTTATAAGAAAAAATTCTCTTAACGCTTGCTTTTATATTCGTAAAAGTTGAAATTTAAAACTTTAATTAAAAGAAACTAAATACTTTCTATTCAGCTTAACAAATTATTAATTTAACATTATACTTTATATATGTGATATTTCGTCTCAAAATATTTCTTGATATTTTCCTTTTGGTTTTAATATTCTTTTATTATTTTAAAAATATATAAAAGACTATTTATAATTATATATTTCATATACTTTTAAAATATTAAAAATAAAAAATTTATAATTATAATTATAAACTAATATTATCAAATTAAATTTAAAAATATAAATAACTTTATCTCCAAATTATTATTTTCAGTTCTTGTTTACGTACAAAAATTTTGTCACTGAAAAATGATTTAAAGAGATGCGTGAATCAACCACCATACCAGATTTCATGTACCTTAAAAAAAGAAAAAAAAAGAAAAAAAGAAAGAGGATATTTGTGCCCCAACATGGCAACCTCGTGAGTGCAGCAGAAACACTGGATAAGGATTTGGCGCTGAATAAATAAAATAATCCAGGGACATTTAATAAAATATTTAATATGCGCAGAAAAATGTTACTGGTTGCAATTTTCCGGCATTTTGGACCGGCATGCATAGCATACATCTGTTACTGCTATGTTTGGAAATATATATAGATATATATTTAAAGAACGCCGAGGTGAAGTGAAATAAAGAATAAAAGATTGTTAATTTTTAGCGTAAATAAGATAAAGAAATTACTACTATCCAAAAAAAAAAAAAAATCTGAAATTATTGAAAATCCTTATTAGCTTCAGTTTTTCATTCTCTCCCAAAGATATTTTCTGTTCCATTTCAGGCCAGTATGTATGTTTCTGGTAAGGGCTAGCTAGTCCTCTTCTCTTCTGCTTCCCTCTCGAGGGCAGGGTTCTTCCTAGGGTTCTCTCGATTTTCATGCTATTCCAATTTCGTCCCTTCCCTCTCTTTTGTTTCACGGAATTGGAGCTCTGAATTTTGACGATGAACAAAAAACCGGTACGTTTATGTATGTGTGTGTGTGTGTGTGTTTTTTTTTTTTTGAAATTATTTGCATATTTTGTTTTTTGGTTGAATTCAATTCTCTCTCGGAGCGGAAGGCTTTTAGAGTTTGGTGGGATATTTTGGAAAATGGTTTGGCAGGTTTAGAGCAAGGAATTATTCAAAAATAAGAAAAGAAACTTATATTCATAAAATTTGATTTCTTCCTGCATTTTTCTATCTGCCACTGCAAGAGAAAGCAGTGTTTGGTCGATTAGGAACCCGGGAAGCGGACGTTATGGCTGTAATTAGAAGATGTCAGTTTTCATTTTTGTTTAAGTTTTGAGCAGTTTCATATCTGGGTACGTTTCAGATTTTGGTATATTTGATTGGTTCTACCCTTCTTTTGTTGGTATGGATAATGCTTAGGCAGGAAAGTTCAAAACTTTTTTTTATTTTTTATATGTCTAGAAAATAATTCTTGCTTCTGATTATCTTTTAGTTTTCTGAATGTCAATTTTCAATGGCCTGCCTTTTTGAATATTGGGGAATTGTTTTTTTTTGTTCATTTCATCATTTTTGAATACTATGAAATGGGGTTGCTTTTGGTTTTTGCGTTGTTGTTGTGATGACCAGACCCATCCTGACATGGCTCTTGTGGTTTCTAACTGAAGCAATCTTATTTGCAGTGAGTGGTTGAGAGGGCCTTTCGTTGATTAAGTTTGTGTCAATGGTATGGATGAAGTATTAGGTGATGAGGTGGCTGCTGCCGATCCAGATGAGGATGCTCACATCATGAACAAGGAGGGTGAGTATATAGCAAAACTTGATAGCTGCAACATGCTGCGCTCACGAGAAATGGTCATACCTGCTGGTTTGAATTTACCTGAGAGCACATTCCATGTATTAGGAGACATTTCAGAGGATAAGAATGTAAACAGGAATTTAGGCCGTGAGGATGTATTGAAACTTGCATGTGCTACCCAACATGATTTGGATGATGTAGGTGGCATGGTCGAAGAGTTAACTTTGAGAAAGTTTAATAGTTCAAACTTACCCATGGTTGGTACATCCAATAGCACAGAAACAATACAGATGAGGCAGAATCAGTGGCAGCATCTTTATCAGTTGGTGGGTGAAACAGGAAGTGAGAATTCATATGGCAACAGAGACAACAGTCATGCCATGCCTGGTATCTTTCAGTATGCAGGGAAGAAATCTATCCCTGAGATTTTGGGTCAGAAACCATTTAGTGATGACCATAGTGTAGCAATGGAACAGTTGACAAGTGGAAGCAATGAGGTTTCCAGCAGTATGTCATCTCAAAGACGTATTGAGACAAAGATTCTATCAAAATCCGGATTTTCTGAATTTTTTGTTAAAACTATGTTGAAGGGTAAAGGGGTCATATGTAGAGGCCAACCTCATACTGGGTTTAGAACTGAACCTGAAGGTCAGAATTATGTAAAATCTACTGGAGGCCCTCCAGTGGCTCCTAGTGTTTCACTCAAGGCTGTTGGTGGCTCTTCTATGGCATCTCATGCGTCACTAAGCATGGGAACCAAAACTGCTACAACTTCTTCCTATGCTGCGACTGGGCCAGGGAGTGTTGATTGTAACAATGATGGAGTGAGTTTGAGAGATTGGCTGAAAGCTGGGGGCCATATAGCTAATAAAGCCAAGGGGTTGCATATATTTCGACAAATTGTGGATCTGGTGGATTATTCTCATTCTCAAGGAGTTGTTTTGCACAACTTACGGCCATCCTTTTTCAAGTTGTTGCAATCTAATCAGATTAAACATGTTGGCACAGATATCCAGAAAGACCATTCAGATATCCAAGACTTTCCCCCCTCAAACAATTGCTTGGTTAAGAGACGGCTGATGGAGGAGATCATGATTCCCTCAGTATGTGCTAAGAAGCAAAAATTTAATGAGAACTTGAACTTGAAAAGATCGCCTATGTTTCAATCAAGACCTGCTGTCAAAATAGGAACCACAAAGAACAGCGACATCAATATCAATATGACTGGGATTCATTTTTTGCAGGATGAATCAAATGAACATGATGCCCATGCAGAACATAGCAATTCCAATAGCCCTCGTCTATCTAATACAGCTCAACAGCAGTCAACCTTTGTAAAGGAGCAATTGGAAGATAAATGGTATGCAAGTCCAGAAGAGCTCAATGATGGAGTTTGCACTATTTCTTCAAATATTTACAGTCTGGGTGTACTCCTTTTTGAGGTGTGAATATGCTGCAACTGCTCTTCTAGCATAAAATTTCTGTTCTGGTTTGGTACCTTCTTGCTTTCCCCAGTGGCATGTTTCCTCATGGTGACTTCTCTCTTTATGTTGTCACCACTCAAAATGAAATCTCCTCCATCTTTCCTTCTCTCCCCCCAAGGGTCCCCCCTCCCCCTAAAGTTGAAAACCCAGGATACCCTGTGAATAGATTTCATTTATAATTTTCTTTATTTGTTTAAGTGATGAATTAACAGTAATTACTCTTAATGGATTTATTTGGTTGTTCCACCCAGTTACTTTGGCATTTTGACTCTGAGAAAGCACATGCTGCTGCAATGTCAGATTTGCGTTATAGGATTTTTCCTCCAAATTTTCTGTCAGAAAATCTCAAGGAAGCTGGATTTTGTCTACAGCTACTCCATCCTGAACCTTCACTGCGCCCAACAACCAGGTAATATTGATGACTTAGGATTTAGATCAGTTTTATCTTTTATGCATTCCACTATTATTCTGTATAACTTTTGAGCTATATATGTAAATGTAAAGCATTCTTATGTAAAGTGAAATTGATTTACGAAATTTATTTCCTACTTTCCTATGGATTTATTGTTTCAAGTTTGAGGTATTTTTGGTTCTTTTCCCCCCTTTCAGCTCACAAGCACTTTATATATATATATATATAGAGAGAGAGAGAGAGAGAGAGAGATAGATTTGAAAATTTTGAGCATGTAGCTAAAAAAAATTTAAGACCCTGCATACCTAGTTAAGTAAACATTTAAAGCAACATGATTATTGGTCTGTAACAGGGATATCCTACAATCTGAAGTAATTAGTGGGTTCCAGGAGGTGCTTGCAGAAGAATTATCGTCATCCATTGACCAAGAAGATGCTGAATCAGAACTATTATTGCATTTCCTCGTTTCATTGGAAGATCAAAAGCAGAAGCATGCATCCAAGTTAGTGGAAGATATTGGGTGGTTGGAAGCAGATATCAAAGAGGTTGGGAGAAGGTACCATTCTAAGAGTCCTTTAGTTCATTCTTCTGTTAATGCCAGGGAAAGCAGGCACCTTGGTAAAGAACTATCATTTTCAGAGTCACATATTAGTTTAGCCCAAAGTTCCAGTGCAAACGGAATGAGGTCAATGAGAAATATTGATCAGCTTGAAACTGCTTATTTCTCCATGAGATCCAAACTCCAGCTTCCTGAGACTGAATCTATAACAAGACCTGATAAGGATGTACTAAAAAACTGTGATAACTGGTGTTTGGCACAGAATGATGGAGAAATACAGAAACCTACTGATTATCTTGGAGACTTTTTTGATGGTTTGTGCAAGTATTCCCAATATAGTAGGTTTGAAGTGCGTGGGTTACTGAGAAGTGGGGAGTTCAATAATTCTGCAAATGTAATCTGTTCTCTGGGTTTTGACCGGGATGAGGATTATTTTGCTGCTGCTGGCGTGTCAAAGAAAATAAAGATATTTGAGTTTAATGCATTTTTCAATGACTCTGTTGATATACATTATCCAGTCATTGAGATGTCAAACAAATCAAAACTCAGCTGTATTTGTTGGAACAGCTATATCAAGAGCTACCTGGCTTCAACAGACTATGATGGCGTGGTTAAGGTCTGTATATCTTGCACATCTCAGAGATTTGATTGGTATAATATTTGTATGTGAGTCTGAATATCACTGAGGCACAGCAAATTTATATATCTTTGGCATAATTCATTCTGCGTTGGTTTCTAAGTGAACTGGACTCATGCTTTTTCATTGGATGCTACACCACATTCTATGGTCTATATCTTCTTTATTGCTGCTAAAAATTTGCATCAGTGTTTATGTTTAACATGTTTATCTGAACTAGGTTGAATTATCTAACAAAGTTGGATCTTCTTGTTATTTTTCCTCATCTGTTTGGAAACTAACCACATTCTCTTGTCGTAAGCATGACAAATTTGTTCTGTCAAGTTTCGGATTGCATATAGACAGATAAAAAACTGAAATTCTAGCACTGCAAAGGTGAAAGTATTCCAACTTCATATGCTAATAGTGGAGTGCCTATTGCCTATAAATACTGCTTGACTGCTGCTCTTGCTTTGTATGCTTTTTTCTTTAGAGGAGGTTAACTCCCTCCCTTAAGAGCTGCAGTGCAGATTATGAGTCATGGGCTTCATAAAGAATGAACATGTAAATTTGCATTTATGATCTAAGACCTCTAAGTGCAAGCTTTTAGATCCCTAACTAATCAAGTCCATGCTACACTTGGATCGAGCTAGTGGCTTCATACTTCCTATCTTAAAAGTTTCTCCCTGTAAATGATTATTGGAGAGATTAATTGTATTTGTTTCCTCATTGAGCTAGTGGCTTTGCTCATTTTACCATTTGCTTGAATGAGATGCAGTTATGGGATGCAAGTACCGGTCAAGCAGTCAATCAATACGTTGAACATGAAAAGAGGGCTTGGTCTGTTGACTTTTCTCAAATTTATCCAACAAAATTAGCCAGTGGGAGCGATGACTGCTCCGTGAAACTGTGGAGCGTTAATGAGGTATGTTCTATTTTGTCCTAGTATATTTCTCACACTAAAGCAGGAAGGCTCCTCGTTAGACACATTAACATTGAAAATATCTTGAGAGCTTTTAATTTAGTTTTTCTGAGTGCTTATGGAGTACTCACCCCCCATCCTCCCTCTGCATGCAGAGAAGTTGCTCGGGGACAATCAGGAATATTGCAAATGTCTGCTGTGTTCAGTTCTCTGCTCACTCCACTCATATGCTGGCCTTTGGATCTGCAGATTATAAAACATATTGTTATGATCTTCGGAATACCAGAGTTCCCTGGTGTGTACTGACTGGCCATGATAAAGCTGTGAGCTATGTGAAATTCCTGGACTGTGAAACTATAGTTACTGCTTCCACTGACAATACATTGAAGCTATGGGACCTAAATAAAACCAATAGTGGCCCATCCAACGCTTGCAGCTTAACCTTCCGTGGACATACTAATGAGAAGGTTGGCATTTTCATGATTGGGCCTCTATTTTTCCATTGTTACTTAAATCTCACCAACTTTTTCCTCCTTTTCTTGGTTTGACTTTTTTGCCTGCTGCTGCAGAACTTTGTGGGTTTATCCATTGCTGATGGTTACATAGCTTGTGGTTCAGAAACAAATGAGGTACAAATCTGGCTTTCTTGCACAATTTTTGTTTCACTTGGTAAACAATACGTGATGTCTACTTTTCCTTTTATACTGATGTCTGACTTTATGAGGTGCTGTTGTTTCTTAGGTTTTTTCTTACCATCGATCACTACCCATGCCAATCACTTCACACAAGTTTGGTTCCATTGATCCTATTTCTGGGAGAGAGACTGATGATGACAGTGGGTTGTTTATTTCAAGTGTCTGCTGGAGAGGGAAATCAGACATGGTCATTGCTGCCAATTCAAGTGGATGCATTAAAGTGTTGCAGATGGTATAAGGTAAGAGTTAGCTGCCGAGAATGACCAAACAACCTTAGAACTATCAAGTTGTTTCCTGGATGCCTATTATTGAGTAAGCTGTTAAGTCATCTAGGGTTCTAGCCATGTGCCAGAGATGGAAGGGCTGAAAGTCAGTTCAGTGGCTCATTATATGGCTTTTGATGACCAAAATAGAGAGCAAGATACTGGTGGAAAATGTTTACAGTCTCAATAAAGATACTGCAATGATCCCATTTACCTGGAGCCCCAAAATAATCAAACTGTAAAATCTAGACAGAAATTTTTTAGATGGAAATAACTGGCAGAAAAGCGAATTTCCTGCTCAATGCTTCAATAACAAGTTTGTGATGTTGGTAGGTGCCCTTACTGCTTTACTTGCTTCAAAAACAACAATGCAGTCCCAATAAGGTTTTGGGTGGAGGAGACTATAGCATCAACAGACAGACATGCTTCTTCATAAGAAAGCTTAGAAGGCTTATTGGTTTTTGTTTTTATTTTAGAAGGCTTTTTGTTTTTTGTTTTAATCTTATACCCAATTCCAAGGAATTCTTTATTGGTTTGTATAAAAGCAGTAAATGTAACGATGTTTACATGTGTATATTTACAAATTTTTATAGTTGTCATTGAAGATTGCACTACACACAATAACTAACTTTACCCAGTGTAAAACAGTGCAGTAACATGAAATTTTTATTTCTGAACTCTATTACTATTGCATGCAATAGCTGTTCTTGGAAGGGAAGTTATATGGAACAAGAAAACTAATGGAACCATGTAAGCTAAAGAAAACAAAAATTCGGCACTGGGAAACTGTAATCCTATTACAAGAGAACAAAGAATAATGGAAAGATGATTCGGAAAAGAAAATAATTACATTGTTTCTATCTTTTAGATTGAAAACTACTGAGGTCATGATGATGGGAAATAGCATTTTGATGAAACTCTAGCAACCCTTCTGAATTCGTGGAAAGACGGTGAACAGGAGAGAGGGCTATTCCGAGGAATGACCTGAGCCTGATGATGCTCTTTGCCTTCCTGAGTTCACAGAACCCATAACCATTGTCAAGCGACTTGCTCGGTTTAGTGACGCACTTCGGCCACATTGAGTTTTTGTTGCAGATGATCTTGTTGATCTTGTCTTTGATTCTCTCGATGTTACTTCACCATCAAGGAAGATGTTTGAATTCAGTATCATCAAAGAAAACAGAATCAATGTGGAAAAGTGTAAAAAAAAAGTTTAGTTAGACTGACCTGATCCTGCTGAATGTCCTGATGTGTTCTTTCTGGCCTTGACATCTGGGGTTTTCTTCACTACTAACACCTTCTTCTCTGGGATTCTCGTGCAAATTGATTTCTTTTCCGGTATCTCAGAACATAATGACCTCATATCGGAACAAATGGACTTGAAATCAGAACAAACAGACCTTATATCAGAGGCAGCCGACTTTGTATCACTTGCTGCTGTGAAAGGATCTTCCAATATAGACAAGCTGTCATCCCTGCAAGTTGAGGCTGCTTCACTTGCTAACTCCCCATTTTTATCTTTATTGCTCATTACGCTTCTATCCCTCTCCGCAAGTCTATAAGCAAACATTTGAAATGGGATTTGTGTCACTGATGGTTGGCAGAAACTCAAATCCCCTGCAAACTTCTTCAGAAACCATGACTCAATATCCATGTACTCTAGAGGTGGCAATTGCATTTCTGGCTGTTCATGATCAGAGTTCATAACCAGGAACTTCTTGATGTAGCGTAGGATCCTGCAGATGGAAGAGAAACTCGGGCGCTGAATCGGGTCTGTGTGCCAGCATTTTTTTGTCAAGTTGACAAGGTATTTTGGTGATGCGTAGGGGAACAGAGGCCTTTCCCCTGCTCTTATATTTCTACTCATTTTCCCTCCTTGCAGATGACCATCTTCGAATGGAACTTTTCCAGTTAAGAGTTCAAAGCAAAGCATCCCAAAGCTATAAACATCTGCTTTCTCTGAGTACTTGGATGTTGAGGCACTTCCAGGCTGTTCTTGCTCTATCAGTACTTCAGGGGCATACCAAACAAATTGGTTGGATTCATTTTGATTTTGGTTTTGGTTTTGGCTTGGGATTGGGGATGAATTTGGAGAAGAATGGCTTTTAATGGAGGATAATCCGAAACCTGAGATTTTCACATGAAAGTAACCTTCTGTATGGTTCCTAGCTTTGAGAAAGATATTGGAAGGGTTTAGTTCTCCATGATAAATTTTCTGAGAATGAAGAAATTCCATTCCTCGGGCTATCTGAAACATGATATCCACCACAACAGGAAGAGAGAACAAAACCCGCCTTCTTGAACCACAATTCTCCTTCATGTAGCAGCTTAGATCCTTGCTCATCAACTCCATGACAAGCAAGGCCTCCTTTTTCTCCTCATCATAAAATCCACATAGATATTGTAGGATGTTAGGATGAGAAATAGAAAGAAGGGTAGCAATTTCGGGACTCAAAGGTTCAACCTCTCCAAAGAAGTGTCTTAAGGCAAAACAATCCCCCAACCATTGGATTTCCTTGTACTGTCCCCCTAATCTCCTCCTCACTTGGTAATCTCCTCCAAACAAAATTGAACTCGGGAAAAGTTTGCCGTTGGATCTATCTGTTCCATTTATTTTCTTGAGAAACATTTCAGCAAGCCGCTGTTCATTCTTTGTTGAATTTCCTGAACTTTTCTTCTCAGTGAGGGCCTCAAGAAGTTTCCACCTATCCTCTCTCCAAGCACTGTCAAAACGGATGCAAATCTCTCTCGGGATCAAATATTGCTTCCCAAATCTCCACTGGAATAGTTTTGGGTCATTCCAATCCTTGTCATACTTCCTAGCAAGTGCAACTCTCCTCCTCTGCATCTCATCCTGGTCGAGTCCTGAAATCTCTCCAGCAGTCTCAACGGCTTCAATGACCGCCGGAAAATAAGAAAGCAAATTGTGAATGTGAAACTCAACACAATCATTGTTCTGGTGGAAGATGATTGCCTTGGCCCACCAGTTCTTCTTGTCCATACATTGTTTGACATAGAGTTCTCCTTCTTTAAACACCCTATGAAGCTCTCTCAAGGGATGTTCAAGGGCTTTCCACTTTGTGTTCTTCTCTTCAAGTTTGAGGTTAAGCTTGATTTCCTCAGCAATTGTATTAAATGCCAAACATAAGAGATCAAGCAGCAAACAGCATTGCCGGCGATTGATTTGAATATCCTCTTCCAATACCATGAGAGCCCTCAAACTTCCCAAAACCTCACCAAGCTGCCTGAATTGCTCCATATATATAATACCAGAATGGTGCTGTTAAATCCTCAGGATGCGAGATAGGATTCAACAGCACCAAAATTCCAGCAAAGGCACCAGTTGATGACTACAAATAAAAGAAACCCCATCAATTTGGCACCAAAAAAATAAAATAAAATAAACTCTTTTGTAATAAGAACAATAACAATATATATATAACAAGTATACATATACAAGCATGAAGCACAACATCATCTTGATTCTTGAGAACAAATCTTTTCATATATACATATTGATATATAGTGGAGAGATGCATCTTCATTAAAGAAAATTTTTTATAAACATTTTTATGTATACAATGATTGTAAATTAAGTAATAAAACATCTTAAAATTCTCTAAAAACAACGATTTCAAGTTTTTAATTATTAAGATATTTTAAGGATGAATTATATATGAATAAGTAAATGGAAGAAATGATTGAGTCTTAATTGCCTATTAGCTTAAATATTTGAATTTAAATAATAATTTATTTAATGAAAGAAGAAAGGTAGAACATGTTACATACCTGAATCGATAATTTTGTTCCTCCACCTTGATAGATCAAATCAGGTAGCCTAATTAAGCCAAGGAGACGCCGGTTCCCGTTGAGTCCTTATGAACCCCAAAAGAAATGAAACGGCCGGCCACCCTCTCTCCGATCTGATCAAACGCAAATCCGATCTCTATTCCATTACTCTCACAAATAATTAATTAAAGATGAAACAAGAAACAGGAAAATATAATGGCATATATATGGCACGGAAATTAAACTTACCCAATTCCAGAATCAAAGCATCTGAAAATATTATCCTATATGGATTAGGTGTAGGCTTTGATTCCTGAGAATTGGACAAAACCGAAAATTCAATATATGAGTTGAATTTTATAGATGGAATAAGAGATGATGATGATGATGATGTTTTACAATTTAATTTCTTCAGGCAGCTTAGCCAACAAAAGAAAAAAAACACTAATAAACTGATGATGAGGAACAAAACAAAACCAGATGTTTCTGCGTCAGCTACCGGTTTCCTTCGGAAGAACCCAAAGAATAACTGAACACAAAGGAAACTGCTCCTCGTTGCCGTTGAACATGTCCGATTTCCTCGGACTCGGACGACTCCTTTATATTACGTGTTCCCGCTATTTTGGTCTTCCCATTGAGGTGGTACTATAAAGATGATTTTTTTGTCTCATATTTTATTTAATTTTTATGTGTTATTAAATGAATAATTGTATTTAATATTATATATTTTACATAAATTAAAAAAATTAATTATTTTAATAATATATTAAATTATAAAAAATATATATTTTATAAAAATCATTTCCTCTGTCCATCCGTGTTATGAGTAAGTTTTTTTTTTTCTTTTTAACACGAAAAATTATAAAAGAAAGAAAAATTTACGAATAATTAATCAGAGTCGAATTTTTTTTATTTAATTTTTTCATATATAAGAGCAACGGTAAACCATAATTTTTTCCCTGTACGACGTCGGGGTAATTCGGATAATAATGGTGTCGATTACGGTCCTGATCGTAATTTACGTTCAAGCGCCGTCATGATGTAACCAAACTTACAATCAGAATTTTGAAAACAAATTAACAAATCCACTTTTTTGCCAAATCGAATAATAGATGTAGTAATAATGCCCTGTTTTGATCCAATTAAAAAATTTTAACTTTTTTTAAATAAAATTTTATAAATTTA